GCACACACACATATATCTATATATATTTATCCATATATTCCTTAGATAATTGTGTTATTGGACGTTCGAGTCCATAGGCTCGAATGAAAAGAGCTCGCAACCATGCTGAGGCGGTGGAAAAACTTGGGCGCTTTTTGGCGATAGGCGCACAAGCATATGAGCCCGGTGGATTTTCACTTGATCGTTTGATGTGGGAGAGGCTTTTTGATGAACTTGAAGATACGAACGTGGGTTCTGGCATAGACTCTCTTCACGCTGATGGACTTTCTGCCCATGCCCAGGTTATGGCACTGAAACATTACCACCGGATCTTTGCCACGGCGTCTAGCTTAGTTCCGCTCTCTTTACAGCGGTGGGAACAGTGGAAGAAAGGACTTTCTACACTTTGCTTGGAACCCGCCTCTCATGCTTTATCTTCTGGCGAGGGTAGGCTGAGAACTTCGAGTTTCTTGGTCTCTGAGAAGCGCCAGGCTCTTTTACTTGCACGTGATAAAGCATTTACTGTAAATCATTGGGGCACTACATGGAGTGCAAAGGTACAACTTATGAATATCGAGAAAGAGTGCAGGGACCACTCGACCAGAAGCTTAGTTGAGGGTGAGGAGGCTAACTATGAGACGAAGATTATCTCAGATGATAATTTTAGGGGAGACGAATCGCACTCGGGAGACATGCTCGCAAGGCTAACGAGGTTAAATTTTTCTATTTTACATGGGTTCAGCCTCCTTCGTTTTCAATCCGAGCACCTGTATTCCATATATGCCTCTATTGGTGTGGTGGAGCGCAGCTGGCTACTAGATAAGCTCTTGGCTAATTGCGAGGGGAGCGCTGATGAGTATGAGGCTGCTTTGGAATCGATAGTTCGACAGAGTTTTAAACGTGACTTTATAATTCCCTCTTGTGACATTGCGAATGGCTCCCTATTGAAGCAGTACTGTGACTTCGAGGTGGATAAAAAAAGGAGAGGGAACTCATGACAATACTGAACGACACACAAAAAAACATGTCATACCTTATCTCGACTGAATTCGCACAACATGAAGCAGCAACAGGACTTGCTCTTCGGAATGAGAAACGTGACAGTGTGGAGGAGGATCACTCTCCCATTCCACAGATCGTTTTGGATGCTAAGGGAAGTTCCTTAGCGGATGAGTATGTATCTATTTTTCGGAAGAGCAGCAGCAGCATCGGTTCTGAGACAAGTGAGAGACTAGCCTTCAGCTTCACTTTGCGGCGTTTGATTGAGTTGGAGGAGTTTCCAGGCGTTCTAAATCCGTCACGACTGGAATTCTGTCTACACCTTCTCCAGCGGTGGTTTCTTGCGTACTGTGCACGCCAGCACCGGTGGACCGTACATGATCCTTTTGTATGCCCCAAAGACTCTGACCTCTGGGATTTCTTGATGGAACGGCACGAGGTACTGCTGAGGTGGGCCTTGAACTCTTCTGATTCTTCATCGCGTTATTCAACGGCGGTTGTTTTGCCCATTTCCACTGCGCCTTTTCTAGCCCGTTTAGAGGCACTTCGCGCTGTAGGTTATTCATTGGTTCATGCCTGGCAGTCTTACTTGAGGGTGGGTCATGACATGCTTACCGCGGGGCCGAAGCGATGCGCACGCGAAGAGGTTGCAAGGGGGCGCCTGCAGAAGTGGTTCAAAGAAAGGTTTATCGGTCTTTTTTGCAAGGCTTTCTTGAATGACTTACACACACAATTTTGTGACACCGACGACAGCGATCTCAATTCAGATGTGGGATGTGAGATGGAAGTGGCGAAGGAAAAAGACGGATACAAACCCAAGTTGGCGAACCGAGGTGCACTTTTGATGCTGGAAAGTGATCTCAAACTCCTCGTTTGTGATCTTCAGCGAAGCATTCATGAATGCTCGTCGTTGTTGTGGGATGAAACGCAGCGCCGCTTCGAGCCACTTCTAGATGAAATTATTGACTTGCTTATGGCGGAGTCCTCCACGTCGCTGGATTTAAACATGGTTCGAGGTATTATGCACGCAGCTGTCAGAATTTTGTCACGTATGCAGCTGTGCTTCGGCCAGTTTCTTCAACAAGCCAGTGGTGAGTATACGTCACGTGATCGAGTGTGCATTCAAAAATTTAACGCACATTACAAGAGGTTGGCTAAACAAGTGACGGCTGCACGGGATACACTATTGTTGAATGCCGTTTTTGATGGATGGACACAGCTGGCAAACCTGAGACCAGGGATAAACGCTGAGGAGGATGCGAATGCGCGGGGGATGCTTTTAATATATGACACAAAGCTACGGACTGGGTGCGGTTCTATGACACTAGTTGAGGGATTCATGGATGTCTGTTATGAGCGACGACGTGCAATAAAGCGTCTGACCACGAGTGTTAGAGAGGGCACTTGTGATACCTTCCCGAGTTCTCACCCAGCCACGCCTAGTGCTGGGTTCCAAGATGGTAGCTGTGTCATGAGTTCTAAATAACCCCAAAAGTAGATTGCTGACCAAGGAGTAGTGAACCTATTTGTTGGGGTTTACTTTATCCATAGTGGTTTCTCTGTTCTCCAGATTACTATATATATTTTTTCTTTCTTTACAACCATCACAATTGTTCTGTAGCTTTTAAACAACATTGATGTTTTTCCCTATTTTTCTTGGAGTTTTGATGATGTTTAAAGAAGTAAGTTTTGAGGAGAAAAGCATCGATGAAACGCACGAGGTTCCTTCGAGTAGCACTGCGCCCTCTGCGTTATCCAATGTGGTAGAGTCTTGCCTGTACACACTACGCTATCACAAACCGGGTGAGGATGGATTTTGCTCGGTTGCGAATGGTGAAGGGGAGGGGGAAGGTACCCCTTGGGTTGATTCTAGGACTATCAATGGCGATTCTTGGGTAGGTAAGGAGTGCCACTGTACGAGGTGTGAGTGTATGCGCGTCATAGCAGCGTTGAATCGGCTCGAGAGGCCAACGGAACAACCGCTTGTGTTGGTTCTACTTGACTTGGACAACTTTGGGTTCAACCAGTTCAAGTCCGTTCCGCCTGTGTTGAAGCGAAATCATCGCGGACATCGAAGACACAGGTCGTCAATACGCAAGCCGCGCACGGATGCCGCGGGCGATTACCATGAGGATGACAGCAACGATGAGGGGAAGGACTGTTGCTTTTCTGAAGTGAATGTGTATCAGCACATGTTTGTATGGGCATTCTTTGGTTCATGCTTTGCGCGTTACCACGGCATTTGGCCAAGTGAAGAGGCAGTTTCTCAAACTCTTGAACAGCGACAGCGGCAAAAATGGTCTGGTAAGGCGAAGCAGCTGTTCGTCACTGGAACATCGACAAACTCTATGTCAACAATGACACTAAACCCATTGTTGTGTTCAGCTCAGCGTCTCACGGTCTGGCAACGGCTAGTAGCAACCAGTCGAGTTCATTTTACAGCGTGCGGTGGCCAGGATCAAGGAGCGGATGGAGTCATCACGAGCGTGATCAACACATTTATCCAGCGCGATATTGTCCTAATCACATCCGATACAAAATTAATTCGACACATCGCATGTCGGGATCAGGGTGATGGGGGATACACTTCAACGGGGCGTTTATGTGCAATCAACGTTGGGGACGTCGGAAAGCGCTTTGTCCCTGTGTGGAGGGCGCTATCGAATCTAATTCGCCAACTCGTGATAGAATACACAAGGAAAAGTAAATCTCAATAAACGTTCTATATTCGATTGTATCTCAGCACAGACTGAGGAGAGAGGCTTCAGAATACTGATAGTATAATGTGTCAAAGAACATCCACTCACATTTGTTTTAAATTCATCGATTCCAGGGCAATCATTTTTTTAAATTTATCATGATATGTCAGGACTTTAAGAGTTTCTTTTTAATGCAAAATGAAAAGGGGTAGTCCTGCAGCAAGATATTCAACACAACTTTAATATTCTTCATTTACGTCCAAACATTAGCCAGTTTTCTTTGGTTTGTGAGATAATTTCCAGCCAATCAAGGGCCACTGTGATCCCAGGGTCACTTTGCTTTAGTTTCATATTTTTAATGAGGACCATGACATAGAAAACACAATTTCTGACAGGAGGGCCTGTAGGTCGCATAAACTTTATGAATTCACTCTAGGCCAAGATCATTATGGCTATAGATTATTAGAGCCGCAGATGGGGCTGTTGCATAACACTCAAATACTGGGCTCATGAGTGGATCATGATGATCTCTTCTTCGACGCGTTCGCGGTTCTTAAGAAAAGGCTCCGGGATGAAACACGCACCTATAATGTTTATGAAGCTATGATGGAATTATCGTGGACACGATGCTACGGGAAGCGAAGCGAACTAAATGTACAATTTCATGTCGCACCTTCTGGGGCTTATTCCTTTCGTCATTCAATGCGTAAGGTGTCAACTTTGTTATGTCCATGAGTGGTAACAATGCTTCTTTACAACCCGAGTAATTTTCATCGTGCTACAGTATTTGGGCGAGGAGCCTACACGCTAATTCACATGTAACTACCATCTCTGCCAAATGCACCTACGATGTGCCTCGGTATAAACCTGTGGTAACAGTAGTCACAAGATTGCTACTGGCTCAATACCGATGGTGCAGTAATGGACCTCACTAGAGCCATGTATATTGCCAGCATCAAGGAAACACTCTGTGAGAACAGGGTCCCATAAGTGTTGATCACGGCACCGAGTGAGACCGGAAAAAAACAGCCTCTTTTGTGAATGCTATAGCAACGAAGGACATTCCATAACCCATACCTATGATACCCACATCACTCCAGGCACATGTCTTAGTTATAAGATGCAGTTTTGTATTGTTAACTCCGCTGCGCATTTGGCAAGTATAGAAGTGTCATGAATACATATGCCCTCAAGCTTTCTAGGATAAATTTACTTCATTATGATCCTTTTTTATGTGGTAAGATAAGTTTGAAAAAAATTGTAAAGAAATCAAGGTGCGTTACTACGTGGATCCCTTTCCCAGGAATCATGCTACAAGGTGAATTGCTTTGCGAAAGGCAAAGTCTGAATTGTTCACGTCACAGGTGGGATATACACGCCGTACAGCATCTACCCTGCGCCACATGGGGGTGCAAATCACATATGGTGTATGTCTCTACTGCTGAGTAGCTTACAATTATGCACACACAGAACTTGGTAGTGGTGTGTGAGGGAGAAGGTTAGTGCAGGCTACCCTCGTCAGGTTGTCACTGTATGTATCTCATGCTGAAGCGGCAGCGACAGCTAATGACAGTTCGTGTGTTGTGACAATATCATTAAGTCTTATATGGAGCCATTATAGTGTTATTAATGTATCCTAGCAGCTTCTCAGCGGGTCGTAGTTGAGGTACTTTTACGCTTCTTGTGACTGAGGCTTGAGTTGGAGTTCACACGCTAAGGCAGTCAGGGCAGTTTGTTAATATCCCCCACAAATTTACTGTAAAGACTGTGTGTAAGATGAAGATTGAGTCAAATAGAGGTGAATCATACTTCCATAAATGACCTAGAAGTTATGTGTACGCATAAGTATCATAAACAAGGATCCATGAATAGTATTTTTGTGTATGTATGATTACTTTATATATATATTTATTAATAAAACTGGTCTATTAGCTTCTAAGAGGTTGATGTTTTTTCTTTGAACATTTTCTTACTCCTTTTTCACCATTCTCGTTTCGAAAGGGCCGACGGAGCGCGTAATGAGGGTTATTCACTGTTCTGTGGAGCTTGTTAGGCAGGTGGCTGAATATCGGAAAAAGACCGACCAGAGGTGGTTATGCGGATCTGCATTTCGCACGGATTTACGACGCCCTAAAAAAGAGCAAGTACCAGCAAATATTGCATCCAAGCAAGGGTTGTGTTCGCATGCTTCACCAGCTGCTGCGTTCATCCACTTTCCTACGCAACTGTTGAGTACCGCGTATCCGATTCGATCCGTCACGACACCAAAACATATAACAAAAGAAAACGCGTCCATACCGCAGCATCAGTATTCACAGGGTGCTGTAATATCGTGTGTACGCAGGCAACTACTCTCTACTCTATCGCAGGGGTCTCTTGCCCTCGAGAAGGGTCTGTCTACGGCATCCGTTGGAGAAGCTGGTACGAATTTAACTGACGTAGGAGAGGATGGTGTGATACAGCCCCGAGTTCCTGACGCTTCCAGTGTAGTAGGTTCCCCTTTGGAAACCTCCCCTTCTCAGGCATTGGAGAGGAGTATTAGCGCACCATTTCTAATGGGCTCAGATACTTTTGCCGATGATAAAGACGTAAACTTCATCCGTCTGTCCGCAGAGCAAGCGCAAACTCTTTCTTTGGCACTGAATGGCGCTTCATTATTTGTGGGTGGAAAGGCTGGAACTGGAAAGTCATTTCTTTTGCGAGAAATTGTCCATAAAATGCGACTTAGGGGTATACGTGTTGCTGTCACAGCCTCAACAGGGATCGCTGCGCTGAATATCGGTGGTAACACTTTTCACAGCGTCTTTGGTGTTCCTGTCTATCAGGATGATGAGGCAGTTGGAAAGCGTCGTACGTTGAGCACTCGAACCCCAAAGGCTTATGAAAAAAAGCTCACATATGACGAGAAAGTACTTTCACAAGTTGATGTTATTCTTATTGATGAGATCTCGCTTTTGCATGCTGGGTACCTTGAGGCACTCGAACGTGCGGCACGGGGTGCTAAGGGCAAAAACCCTAGCAAACCCTTCGGAGGGGTTCAGATTATTCTTTCTGGGGATTTCATGCAGCTGACATCTTTTCAGTTTCAGCGGGGCGGCTGTTCCGGCCGTGCAAGTGCTTCGTCAAATATAATAAATAATAAGGATCGTTTAGTGTGTGCCCAAGTTGCCAAGGAATGTGACATAGCTGTCCAATATGTTGCCATAAAGGATGCTTTGGAAAGAGTACACAAGGACTCGGCTCACAAATCCGTTGAGCGGCGGTATTGCGTGGGGTACTACTGTGCGCTCCCCATGTACGAGAGCTATGCGTTTCGTAATTTCCTCCTACACGTTCAGTTAAGCGAATCTACACGGCATCGTATAGACGCTGGTTTTCTCCAAGACCTCAATCTCCTACGTGTGGGCATCCTGACATACAGACTGTCGCGTTCCTTTGTTTTAAACCGTGAAGACGACAGCGCCATTCGGCTATTCGCTACCAGACGATCCGTCAAGGCGTATAACGAACAGCAGATAGTTGGCTTAAATGGACGCGAAGTCGTCTTTAAAAGCCACCTAATGCTATTAGGTGTGGGTAAGGGCGATTCGGCGGGTTGTTTTTCTAGTGTTGAAGCTCAGAAATGCAAGTACACTAAACAAAAGTTCTGGTCAGACGTTATTCTCCTTCACTTTACCAATCGTGAGGGGTTTTCCATACGCTTTGGACATGGCCGTGGAGATCTCGGCTCAAGACGCTGGGCTCGAGGCAAGCCGCGTGAAATAACTTATTCCGAGGTTCAGTCTATCGTACATGAGATTTGCCAGGCAAAGACACTTGATTCGGAACGTTTCTTTGCTTATGTGCTACCGTTTGCCTATTGTTATTCGCCAAACATCCATTCAGTTGCCGTTCGCACTTTTGGCCATAACAGAAAGGAGGCGACTATGCAGTTAAAGGGTTTCTTGGCTAGTGCAAGTGAGCGAATGCAGGGGGATGCCTCTCTGAAGAATTCTGTTGCAGTTGGTGCGGAGTACATGGGCTTCATGTTTGCCAGTGCACCGCGATGGATGTTGATTCGTTTCGAACGTTTCTCCGCTCACAAATTTGCTTCCCATCTGCAGCCCCGATTTCACCACTATTTTCGTTATGACATCCAGAACGACTTAGTCACTCAGAGTAAGAAGCTGAAAGTAGGCTGCCGCGTCATGCTTCTTCGAAACTTGAACGCTCAATATGTGAATGGTTCGTTGGGTACGATTGTTGATTTTGCGCCGCTTTCTACTTGTAGTCATTTGCTGCCACTTGATTTCAAAGCCTTGCTCCCTTCTAGCTACCTAGTGTCTGTTCCTTCTATTATCCAGAAAAAGCACAGCAGAGATGTTGTATTCCAAGGTAATCTCGGCGATTCAGAAGAAAGAATGGCGCGCGATGTAATTGCAGAAGCAACGTCGACGGGAGGCACCACGCCGAAATGGATGCCCACGCCGAGAAGCACAGCTACATTCACAAGTCTTGTCGAGCTGCCACTCGTACAGATGGATGCGGATGGAACTGTGGTTGCCATTCCCTGGATTAGTCTGCCCTTCCCTGGAGCCCCTTCTGAAAGCTTTTTTTCGTGTCGTGTCGTGTGCATGCCGCTGACCCCGGCCTATGCATTTACTGTTCATAAAGCCCAGGGTGTCACTTTTGACAGCCCTGTGTTATTCGATGCAGCTGGCATGTTTCCGTGCGATCACCTTGTTTATGTCGCGGCCAGTCGTGTGAGATGTTTTTCTCAATTTCGCTCGGTCAATATGTCGCCACGAATGGTAACGGTGCACGTACCCTCTCTTTACTTCTCAGAGCACCTTCCTGACATCAGAGCTGCCACAGAAACGTGGAATACGTGGGCGAAAACACGTAGTCTTGCCATGAATGATTGCACAAGAAGAGGTGGATTATTTTCGCCGAATTGGAAAGACTCATTTTACTTTTTAGTGTGACGCATTTATTATTATTATTATTTTTGCTACAATTATTTTCCCAAATCATTCATTTCCTCTTTTTAAAAAGAGCTCCTGCTACACGTTTAGATGTGTTTGTGCAATGTTTTAGTCACTACTTCATAGCACAAAGACATGTTCGGTATCTTGACCTTCAACTTTTTCCTCAATCATGGGTAGAATTACAGATGAGCGCGAGGAAAAAAAGCATCAGGTTTGATACAACTGTGAAGCGTACTTAATCCATCTTTAGCGACAAATCTCTCAGATCAAACTCTTGGTATATTTTAAGACTTTCAGTTTTTGCTGTTTCAAGTAATTTCCTTTCAGATTAAACATTTCATTTTATTTTATACTGCTATATCTTCTTAAACTATGCATTACTACCTTTCTTGT